AGTCTAACTCACCTATGTGAGGGAGTGAACTTCTCAATCATAGACGGAAATTTCACTGTGCTAATTTTCTAAGTCATCATTTTGTCTCTGAGGTTCAATTCTTCTTGAGTGGGAGACAGTAAAGGTAAAAACAAAAACAAACCACATTTCCTGCACAGGAATTTGCAAGTATCAAAACACAACAAAACAAAAATCCAGGGAAGCTCTCTGAGTAGGTTCAGTCTGTGTCTGAGACAGACAGTCTGTGGTTACTGCTGAAGCTGAGGTCATCATTCAGAAGCAGTAGGCTCCTCCCCTGAGCTTTTTGACCCCAAGACAGGGCAGTGTGTGCTCAGTTTGCCCAACAGATATGCACCCTCCAGGAGGCCTCTTGTCATTGCCCAGAGCCTCATGTAGACATGGGTTGGAACCTTTCTTAGCTCCCTGAGTAAATGCAAATGTGTTCTTCATGTAACCACGTTTTTGTATAATTCATATTTTCTTTCCATTGATTTATCATATTTTATAATGTAGCATCAGACTTGTTCCGTGTATGTGATATTATCTTTTATCTATGAGAAACACATTACTGGTCGTGTTTTACTATGTTTCAGGAGCTCTTATTTTCTGAGTTCTAAATGTTTGCTTAGACCTGTCTTTCATATTAATGGCATTTAGAAGACATGCGATGAAACACTAAGAGATAAAGAAAAAAATCTGTGACCTGTGTAGGTGACATCAGAGGCAAATGAGTGCAGCTGGAAATTTCATTGGTAGTTGCAAGTGTTAGCATCAAAATTTCCTTTCTCCTCATTGAGATGCTTACAACAGAAAGAAATCATATTGAATCTTACCTGGAGGAAGTCATGTCAGGCAGAAATCAAGTTGCTCAAACGGTAGGTTGAAAGGCTTAGGGATCAGAATGTAGGTTTTATTTTAGCACAGCTTCTGCATTACAACATTATAACTCTGAATTTAACTACCCTGTCTCTCTGTACTGGTGTTTCCTTAACTCTTTATGGGAGGATGTGAACAAAGGCCCACTCAGCCATATAGGACACCAACAATAGATCAAAGTAACAACTCCCCAAAGTTAACCACAGTGAATCAAGAGGTGTATTGGCTTGGGTTACAGAGCATAAATGAGATTTTACTTAAAGAACCATGAGTGATGAAACAGCTACCACATCCCTGCAATCCCCACCCATCATGAAAGACCCCATCATGGAAGCTGCATCACAGAGTCACCTATTGGCTAACCTACACTATACTCAATAATCCCCCAGGGTCACCAACAGTTGGGGAAGAGAGAAAGGAATAATGGCTGGAATCCAGGATGAGGGTCCTGGATTCTCCCTTCTCTGCCTACTGGAAGTGCTGTCAACCCAGTTTCATTGTCTGGCTGTCCCTTACTAGTATAGTCCATCTAATGGCAAGGCGACCAGGAGAACTCTCTACACCAAGTGGATGACCGTTTCCTGCCTGGAAGAGAAAGCCACAGGACAGCAGCTGGGGTCTACGTGTGCTAGAATGCTCTGTGCCACTGAGCTACATCCCAGTCCTTGAGCTGTGCCTGGAGTGTCAAACCCATAGTGTCCAGTTCAGCCTCTCCAGAGAGTGATTGTGCCGTTCTTCCTTCCTCTGGGGCTTCTTCTTCCTGGGAAATAGACGGCAGCATTAAAATGCATTCGCGGATGGCCTTCTAATCTGTCCTGGGGTCCCTGGGCTGCCAGGCATTGCCACCTCCAGACTCTCTTAGCTTTTCCCAGGTTGCAGGACAAGACCAGATTGTCTTTCCTTGGTTTCTCCTTCTGTGGGCACTTGGCAATTTATTTCTCTACACCTTAAATTCCTGTTCTTCATTTAAGAGTTACATCTCTTGTGCTTTTTCATTGTTACCCACTTTCCCACATATTTTAATGTAAATTGGAAGAGTTGGAGCCTGGTGTGCTTCTTCAAACACAGGTTCCAAGTACATTCTACAGATAGCGTGCACTGTGACAAAGCTGTGTTCTACAGATAGCGCGCACTGTGACAACGCTTCGATCTTTGAAGTTAGTTGGTTTCCACTGCAGGAGCACAGCTGACAGACCCACAGTCTACTTCCATCTTCATAGGCCTAAAGCCCACACTCTCATCATGGTTAGCTCCTTCATCCTTGAAAACAAGATGCGTACGTTATTAATTATGAACACATGGTGCATTCTCTTCCATTGTAATCCAACAAGATCATCTGAGATCTCTAAACAAACTAAACACATGGCAAGATGCATATTTTCTACAAAAGGAGAGTGAAATCTCCTTCCTGTTCTATTTTTAAGTCGCTTGCTCACTGTATCAAATGAAACAAAAACTATAATTGGTGTTTGTCACTGACTCTAACTCCTTCACCAGGAGAAATAACTTTTGAGATCAGAACTTCCCCTGGCCTTTGAAGTGTTCACTCTGGATCATTGATAGTGGTTTGGCTCTGGATGCTGAGTCAATATTTGCCTATTTAATCCTCAAGAGAGTACAAGCTCATCAGTGTTCAAAGCTTTATGATGAAATGTCAGTTTAGTGAACAGAATGTATGAAGCTGTACAGATGACAACTGTTTGTTCTGTGCCCTGGGTGAGGAAGGACACAAGGAAGACAGCTAGTGACCTTTATCTGGTTTCAGTCATTTTGAGTTCCCCAAACCATCACAGTGTGAATTACTAAAGAATCAAAGTAACTTGAAAAGAGTGGCTTTGTTCTTGGTTTTGAATCGGCTGCTCAAGTGATGCCTTGGAGACCCAACTGGCACTCCAAGGCCAAAGAGAACGGAACTCCTGTAGTTGGAAATAGAGTTGACAATAGAATTGGCATTTGTATAACTTGTTTGTTTCCTTCCTAGGCTGATCCTGGGCATGCTGCCGTGGGGTCCTGGTGGTGTGTCCAAGAGTGTGCACAGCTCCCTGAGCTGAAGACATCTGAAGACCACACTCAGGTGGATGTGTTCACTTGGGCCAAGTTCATTTTTAAAGTCTCATTGCTTCCTAGTGACCTTTGATGCTCTGACTTGGAAATGGGTTGGGAGAGGAAGACAAGACCATGTGTGAAAGGTTTTAGGAAAGTTGTTCCCATGAGTTTTATTTATACGTAAAATATTGATTAGTTAGGTTTTCAGTTCCTGTGAAGAGACTCTGTGGCCATGGCAACAATCACAATGGAAAATGTTTATTTGTGGTGCCTTAAACTTTTAGGGGTCCGGTCCATTATCACCATGGCAGGAGGTGTGGCGGCATGCAGGCAGGTGTAGTGTTGGCTACATCTTGCTATGCAGACAACAGGAACAAGACTGTCTCACTGGGAGTAGCTTGAACATAGGACATCAAAGCCCACCCCCACAGTGACACACTTCCTCTAACAAAATCACACCTTCTAATAGTACCACTCTCTTTGGGGGCCATTTCTTTCAAACCACAACCTGGGTCCACGTCCAAAATGGAGGTGACACTACCTTGGATTCTTGACTGTAGGGTGGGTCTTGAATACCACCACAAAAACAAGAGGGCCACAGCTCTGATAGGGAAGGCAGCCTCACACTGGCGTGGGTCATGAGCATGCTGATGGTTTTCCTGAAGCTACATTATTGAAAACACAAGGGATACAAGTCAGTATTACTTCCATTGCTGTGTCAGGACCAAGGCCTTTCCCTGGGGACAAGATGACACTACTGTCTTTCATAAATTTCATGTGAGTCTGCTCCACCCAGTTATGAAGATGAATGAAGAAGGTCTCAACTTAGCCCACGCCTGTTTGGGGTTATTTGTTTACACTGCATGAAGATGTGTCTGTGTTTTGCTCACTTTCCTAATGCACCTGATTGGTTTAAGAAAAAGATGAGTGTCCAGTGCTAGGCATGAGAGGGCAGACGGGGCTTTCGGGCAGAGAGAGGGACCCAGGGTTAGTGTCTGGTGTGGCAGAAGCCATTGAGACACGGAGCACACTAGACATACAGAGGAAAGGTAAAGAGCCACGCGGCAGAAAGTAAATTGATAGGAACAGGTTAATTTACGTTGTAAGAACTAGTTGGGAACAAGCCTAAGCCAAAGACCAAGGTTTCATAACTAATATAAGTGTATTTCATTATTTGGTGGTGGCTGGCCAAAGGAAGGCCACAAGAAAGGCTCAATACACACAGCACTGGTTTCAACTGTTACTCTGGTTGTGGGCCAGAAAGCAGTATGGTTTAAAGTCACTGTTTCTTATATCAAGTAATGAGCAGCGTATTGATCTTCTGTTCCTTCACTTATGCTAGGAAAAGGGTTAAATAAGTTACTTAAATGAAAGATGGTTGCTGTGGATGGTAGTGCATATTTTTTAACCGCAACACTCAGGAGGCAGAAGTGTTCAAGGACACCCTACTGTGGAGAGCAATTTCCAGACCAGCCAGGATTGCACAGTGAGACCTTGTCTCTGAAAAAAAATAAAACAGACCACTGGTTTGCAACAATACACAATTTATAATACTACTAGAAAAGTCTAGAAAAGGAAACTGACTAAGCAAACACATATGGTGATAAGTACTAAGAGATTCATTTTGTGGGATGGTCTATGTAAGATAAGTTTAAGTGAAAAAATACAATTCAAAATGGTAAGTGCACATGAAGCAATTCAATTTTAAAAGTGTTGATTTATAGTCACACCTTATTTTAAACAGTAAAACAAAACCACTTTATTTTTCTTTATATTTGTCATATTCATGATAGAATAAAATGAGCTCCCCATTTTAAGTGGGTGAGACCTCCTGGTTCCTTGGGAACCAAGTCCTAAAAACAGTCTCATTCTATCATTCCCTATAGAACAAAATATCCCTATTCAAACACTGTGAGAAAATAAAAATGATTTTAAAGTCTGTGTATCAGTAAGAACTCCCTGCTTTGCACACAGCTCAAAGGGTAGAGCCCCCACCACCACCAGTAGAGGATGATGGGAGTTAAAGGATGCTTAAATACCTTGGTGCCACTCCTCTGAGCAGCTGCTGAGCTGATTCCCAGTCAACATGAAGGCTCTCCTCACCCTGGGGTTCCTCTTGCTTTCTGTCACTGTCCAAGCCAAGATCTACAACCAGTGTGAGTTCGCCAGAACTCTGAAAAAACATGGAATGGATGGCTACAGGGGAATCAGCCTGGCAAACTGTAAGTCCTCGTCTTGACCTCTCCAGATAAGCAGCCCCTGCAGAACAGGTACAAGGAGGAATGAGTGAGCAGAGAGGGAGCTGGAGTCAACAAGCGTCTAGGATTCCTGTGTGCTTGACTTGGTTTGATCAAGAACATCAGCGTTTGTCTTCTTCCTCACAGATACTGGGTGCGGGCATGGGAGGGGCACCTGTGCCAGGCTGAGACAACAGGACTGAGGTGTTCTTGGAGTGTCAATGGGAATTCCAGTTGCTACAGACACAACAGTCTACAGGGGTCTGAGAGAAGATGGTGGGGGGGGGACACTCACTCATTCAGAACTTGAGTGCTGAGAGCCTGGAGTGACTGGTATTCGTCTTCATTTCTCTTAGCATGGAATGAACCTTTCAGAGAAAATTTTTCAAATTTTTGAACTTCCTATGTAGGGCAGAGGAATCCTATTCCCCCCTGCTTTCTGCTCATTTGAGGTCTGCTGAATCTGAATGATTTGGTGCATGGATGGATGGATGGATGGATGGATGGATGATGGATGATGGATGATGGATGATGGATGATGGATGGATGGATGGATGGATGGATGGATAGATGGATGGATGGATGATGGGTGGATGGATGGATGGATGGTTGTTGAAATTTATTTGTTCTCAAAGAGATTCTCTTTGGGGTACTTGAAAATTTTCACTTGCTATATACATATAGTAGTTCTTCCTACTTGAAAGGCAGAGGCAGGAGGGTTACTTAAAACCAGGAACTACCCTGAGTGACACAGGCAGACCAGGCTTGAGCTAGGGGTAGCTTACTTTATAATTTAATCATATGTTTGTATTTATAAAGTAAATCACTTGTAAAATACAGCAAGATCAAAGACTTAATTTTGATATCCAGTATGCATCACTTGCTATTGCTGCTTATTATGAATATTTTCTTTTTAGGGGTGTGTTTGGCTCAGCATGAGAGTAGCTTTAACACACGAGCTACAAACTACAACCCTGGATCCAAAAGCACCGACTACGGGATATTTCAGATCAATAGCAAATACTGGTGTAATGATGGCAAAACCCCAGGAGCAGTGAATGCCTGTGGGATACCCTGCAGTGGTAAGACATGGCAGGTTTAGAGGAACAGCAAACAATCCACCTGCTCTTATGTGCAAGAGCAGAGACATAACCTTGAAGGAAGCATCAGGAACCTGAGGAGACTCTCCTTACTGTTAGAAAGTCATTGATATGCACATCAAAACTAGTCAAGGAAGACATTAGGCTTAGGGCATAGCCTGTCACTTAGAGAGCCCTTGGTTCTACTCCAAAATTCACTCAATGAATCAACAATATAAACAGAGACTGAGAAGACAGCTCAGACACAGCATTCCCTATGCCAAGGTTTGGCCCTCAGCACCCACATAAAAGCTGAGTTTGTTGGCATGCATTTGTAAGACCTGCACTGGGGAGTCTGACACAGGCAGATCCATGGGGCCAACTGGTCAACCAGCATAGCCTAATCTGTAAGCCACTTCTAAGTGCAGACCCTATCTCAGAGCCAATGTGGACTATTTCTAGGGAACATCTCCTGGGGCTGTCCTCTGATTTCTACATACACAGTCACACATATGCAGGTTCACTGGTGTACATACCACTGCACACAGAGACAGACATGTTAAAATAACAGAAAATTAAAAACAAAGAGCTGGTATTCGAGTTTTCAAACTTATACTCAACATGTACAAACCCATACATGGACACTTAATTAAATTAAATAAAATAAAGTATTTTAAAAGATTATATTTTTATAACACATGAAATTTCTGTGATGTATACTAACTAATGTAAGTTGCCTTATTGGTCTTAGTCCTGAATTTTCCATTCTAGTTGTTTATTTCGTGGTATTTAGGGATATTGTTGTAGTGTCATTTTTTACTGACTGAATTTTATTGTAAGGATTTCTAACATATAAATGAAGATATTACTATAATAAAGACCACATGACAAGGTACCAAGAAGTCCTGGCATTTTGTCCCACTGGTGTCTATGTGCAGGTATTGATGGACTCCTACCGAGAGATCTTAGAGTAAATTACAATACCAAATTTTGTTTTTAAACTCTGAGTTTGCATGTCCAAACAATCTAAATCATAGATACTATTTCATCTAACAAAATAATACATATTTATTTATTTAAGGTGAAACTTACTTTTAACAAGCAAGCAAACAAACAAGATTCCTATCAGCTTTGAGTCCTGAGATGATAGAACTTCATTCAGCTCATGCCATGAAGAGAGTAATGTGTAAGCTCTAGTGTATGAATAAGATTGTCTGCTATTGCTCTATATCTCCAGTGTGGGAATTGAACCCAAAGCTTGCTACATTTTAGTCAAGCACACTATACAATGAACTATTAATTTCTACTCTGTTACACTTGGTTGTTAAAATTTTCAAAAAAAAGGAGATTGCGGAGCATTCTTTGTAGCCTACTTGGCCTATCTTTAAGGCTTTTGTACACTCGCCTACACTCATTGGGAGGCAGTAGAACTACAGGAAAGAGGAACACCGTTCCCTGTTGAGTGTTCAGAGAGTTGATGGGACTGGAAACCTTTGGACATTGCTCTTCTAGTCTGTAAATCTGTGCTGTAGGTCCATGTAAAATTATATCATGCACATGTGTGCTCACATGAAAACATGTACAGATTTCACAGTTTTACACAAATTCAATTATGCTTTCACAGCTTCATGAAATGGTTAGTACTGAAAACTGCATCCATAGTAGCAGACACTGACCTGAATTCTCAACGAAACAGTGAATAAAATGCAGTAGCAAAATTCTGTATGATGGAAACACCACTCTTCCTTCTTCAGTCTTAAAGCTCCTACTGCTCCTATTTTACTGGTTATTAATTGTCAGGAAGAGCTTTATCCACAGAGGCTTGTGCATTGTTCTCTTTCTTAAAGCATCCATTTACCTTTATGTGTGTGTTTTGCCTGCATCTAGGACTGGGAACCACATGTGTGCCTGGAAACTGTGGAAGCTAGAAGAGGCTTCTTGTCCTGGAACTGGAGTTTCAGACAGTTGAGGGCGGCCACATGGGTGCTGGGAATCAAGCCCTCTGGGAGAACATCCAGTGCTCTTAGCCACTGAGCCATCTTTCCAGCCCCTGTTTTTCTTTAGGATGAATTTGCACTGGTAGACCCAGGTGACAATTTTTGACTGTCTTATTTCCAGTGTAGAACAAGAGGGTCTTCCCTCATGGTAGCTGATTGTCCCACCGCCTCCTGCGACCTCTCATTACTTCTGTGTGTTCTTTACTTTGTATCAGTGCCGGGATCCTAAGAACACTCTACACTCAAGTGTATCCTAACCCCCAGGGACTCTATAAATGAGAAATAAAATGACTTTCACCATGCCAACAGGATACAATAACCACAGAGGCATGGGCACTTGGAAAATAATTTCTTGTATTTATTGCTCAGTGTCACAGAGGAGAGCTGTCTGGATCTGAAGTGAAAATGGGTTCTATAACAGTCCCTGTCATTCCTCACCCCTGTCTTTCAGCCTTGCTCCAGGATGACATCACTCAAGCCATACAATGTGCAAAGAGGGTTGTGAGGGACCCACAAGGCATTAGAGCATGGTATGCTGGAACTTGGGAGGGGAAACGCTGGTTGTGTTATATATGCAGGGAGTCTTTCTCAGGCCCAAGTGTCATTGTGAGCTCTGCAGGTTCAGCTGCAGGTTCCGTATTTTAGGGAATTCCTCCAGAGTGTGAGAATCCCCACACATGACTGCTTCCTGGTCAGGCCTCCAGACTATTTGTGGAACCTGTCAACTGTTCCATGCACTTGATGTCACATTGACATTGAGCATCCTGTGCTCTGCTCAGGGTTTGGAGAGGATCACACAGCCATGTAGACAAAGCTCCATTAGTCTGAGCAGTTTCTGGGCGATGCTCTAGCCTGTGTTCCACACTAGATCTTGGCCCAGAGCACAATCGCCATTAGTGTCACTGTTACACTGTTTCCCCCCAAAGGTTTGAGTGTGTGTGTGAGACAGAGGAGACGAGTTTAACCATTTCTTCTGTGTCTCACTTTCCTCCACAGGGTGGCATGGAAATCCCACTGTCAAAACCGAGATCTCACCCAGTATCTTCGGAACTGCGGAGTCTAATGCTGTTTGCTTCCCCTTCAGCTCATTCTGTGTCTGTATCGCTATAGGAGTAGTTACAGGAAAGCTCACACTTCCCTGGATTCCCCTTCAGACAAGCAGGCCTTAAACAGAAACAGAAGCACAATGGAACTGTTTCCTGAGAGGCTTCATGCTGACCAATGTCTTCATGCTGGGGACAGTGGTTAGCACTTAGGCCATCGCACACATCTCTATACATCAGTTCTTCACCTATGAAGTAAGTCACATTAAATTCCATCAGAATTAATCTGCATCTTCCCCATGGTGGATAGACATACAACAAATGCTTACAGGACTCTGAGTAGATCTTGGGTAAAATGGCAGCTGTGTGAGCTCCCAGGCCTTGTGTGTGGGCTCAACACCCAGAAAGTTAGAACAGCTGCTATGTGGGCCAAGGTGGATTTGTAAGGGGACAGAACTCTGAGTGGATAGAACTGAGATTCCTCAATTCAAAAACTTGTTGTCATGACATGTGTGACCTTTCAAAAAAGTATTTTCTTAGAATTTTCCCAATTATCCTGCTTAAAAAGTAAATTTTCAACTTATGTCAAAGTCTGTCTTAACCCTTGATAGAATGTTTCCAAGCCTCTTGCAAATCATGAATTATTCAGGGCAAATTACTCTGCTAGCCCTTAACTCTCTTAAATTAGCTTCATGCATAGGAACTAACTCTGGGGCAGATGAGCTTTGACCAGCAAAACTAAGTGCATTGTGAAAACTACAAAAAGACATTAAATGATTTTCACTGCATACCTTGTCTTTGTCCTCTCTCAAATGTTCCTGTGTTGAAAAAAAAAATCAAGATTACATCCTTAATACATTCTACCTACATATAGTTAGTACCTATATCCTCACCTACATATAACCTGTGCCTACATCCTCATAGATACATAGCCTGTGGCTACATCCTCACCTACACAAAGTCTATGTCTACGTCCTCATCTACACACAACCTGCGTCTACATTCTCACCTACCCGTAACCACTGCTTATGGACTGTGCCTACAACCTCATCTACACATAACCACGTGGATATTTCTTGGGTAAAATTCATAATGTAGCTGACCAATCTCCATTGTTTCTAACAGGCCCTTGTCGAAATGTAACATTTCTTACTTTAGAATCTGTTCTACCCAGCATCCTGTATACACTCCTACTTCTCATGCCCTTTGCTGGCTCTAGGATTGTGATTTCCTTTTTCATTGTGGGAATGCTCTGGGCCGTGGTTTCCACCTCCTAATGTAACCTTTAGACCTATACCAAGAGAGCCTTGCATGTGGTTTTCTAGCCGAAAATGCACCCAACAATTCTGTTCCATTCTGACCCAGAGCACTTGCTAATGAACAATGCTTTCCTTTGATTTGTGAGGCAATGGCAATCTTGTAAAACCACCAGCTGCTCCTGCTAGTGTTCAGGCATCTGTCCTGCCCTTGGAGTTCTGACAGGATACACCCTCAGCTGTGGCCACTAAGCTGTGCACATTCACTGAGCTTCTTTTAAAAGAGCCCCGTCCACCTGCCATCCTTCTCTCCCCCTCCCCCACCTCTCTCTCTTGTCCACCACTCTTGTCTCCAGGGACCAGTCTCTGCCCCCTGACTCCTTTTCTGCCCCTCCTCTCTCCTCTTCCAATAAACCTCCTATGTGAATCCTGTTGTATGGCGTGACTTCTCTGTGTGGCATTTTAAAAATTATGACAGCCCCTCCCCCCATCTAAGGTCTTCCAAGAGTCTTAAGAACTCCACAGCCAGAAGCCAGGGAGAGGCCAGCGAGCTGAGTCAGGAGAACAGGTACCTCCTTCCAAGCCTGTTGAGCTAACCCAGGGTGCACATGCCGGGAGGGAAAATGGGCCCCTGCAAGCTGTTGTCTAGAGTCCGCATGAACAACACACACAGCACATTTCTCCATGTGCACACACAGAGAAAAAATTTCAAATGTAAATTATTTTTATTTATTTATTTATTGTGTATCAGTGTTTTTCCTGCATGCCTCATAGCCCTGGGATTCAGGAGAAGGTAATGTATCTATTACAACTGGAGTTTACATGGTGGTGAGTGGCAGGTGGGTGGTGAGGATTGAACCTGTAAGAGCTGTCAGTGTTTAGTGCTGCTATGTCATCTCCCCAGAGCCTTCATTGATTTGAGAAAACAATCCAGAGAGACTTCAGATGAGCTTTATCTCTCCCATGATCATTTCTTAGCTGCTCACATGGTGATTACTTCCCTGATGAAGTTGTTGATCAGAGGCAGGAGGCTTCCCTGGAGCCTATCTCCTTCCAAGGGTAGTAGATGCTGGCCCAATACCATCTGCAGCTACATGCTGTCCAAGAGGGTCCTTTTGCCATTGCTCTGGGCCCCAAATAGGATAGGGATACACAATTAATCTTAGTCCTTTTAGGAAACATGTTCTCATTTATGAACACTGTGCTGGCATTTATGAACTTGTTCCCCAGCTGGTGGTTGTGTGGGAAGGGCTGGGAGGTGAGGCCTTGCTGAAGGAAGTATGTCCCTTACGGTTGACTTTGTACACTAAGAGTTAGTGGTCTCTGCCACCTACTTATGGGTCAAGACTCAGCTACTGCCCCAGCTTCCTTCCACCATGCTAACCCTCTGCCATTGTGGGCTCTAACCCTCTGGGCAAGTAAACCCAGTTTACCTCTGCGCTGTAAGCTCTCTTAGCCAAGGCATATCACTGCAACAGAAAAATAACCAATGCAAACACAAAGGTTTCTTTCTTGTTCTCTGGTCACGTATCACAGGCCCCTTGCATCTCTGATCTCCCTGGGGCATTCACTGTCATTCTGTTTCACTTTATACTGTCCTGTTTCCTTTGGTCCCCTTCAGACAGTGGCTTTCATCCAGTATCTGGTGATCTTCAGTTGACTGACTAAGACCTTGAGCACTAAGGAACTGAATGGAAAATCTGTGATCATGCAGAGTGACACCAGATGAATCTCAACTGGGTTGACCATTGTATTGTGAGCCCAACAGTGACATCACTGGGTGTTTGCTCTTGCTTCAGTAGTTTGTCCCCAGGGACAAATTCTACCGGCTCCTGTCTGGGGGAAAATTGTGTCAAACAGAAAGAAGAGCTGGTTGACAGTGAGAGCCTTGTTGACTGACACCTGTAGTCCTAGCATGTCCTAGGGGACATGTAGTCATAGATGATGAGAGGGGAAGGTTATCATTAATTCAAGGACAGTCTGGAAAAATGGAGAGCCTTCCTTCAGTTTAAATCCTGGTCTCAAGGCTCCACGGAGAGGCTGGAGAGATGGTTAGGCAGTTCAGAGCACTGACTGCTCTTCCAGAAGACCAGGTTTGAAGCATCCACATGGTGGCCCACTGAGTGTAAGTCCACTAAAGGTTCACCAGCAAATGCTCCGAGTCAGAATAGAGCAGAACTGTTGAGTGCATTCTAGTTCAGCAGAACACGCGCAAGGTTCTTTGCCTAGTTCTCGTGATGTACGTTAGCGGGAGGAAGCCACCACCGTACACCCAATCCCACACATATTTTCCCTCAGAGAGTTTAATTCACAAATCCAGCACAGTGAGAGATTAACAACTGATAAAAGACAGGATTGTTATTCAATTCTGAAAAGTAAAATAAGAAATACTGTCACAGGGTCCCTCAGACACTGCCAAGTGAGACTGATGCCTGATGTGGCCCTAAGTCACAAGGAAGTGTGTGGTGTACACAGTGGATGCCCTGGAGAGGGTCAGGACCCATGCGCTGGGCAGAGCAGAGCAGTGGGGACAGAGGAGGGGCAGGACACGGAATTCTCACAGCACCGCCTGTTTGAGTGCAGCGTTGTTCATTTGACGTTTACAGATCATGGCTAATGGTGAGTAAGTCAAGGGAGAGAGGATAGCCAGTGAATAAATACATCAAAAAACAAATGCAGAGTGGCCATCGCCACTCTCCGAGTTTCATCATGCCGCCTAAGGATGACCAGAAGAAGCAAGGTGCCGGAAAGTCGGCCAAGAAAGACAAGGACCCAGTAAACAAGTCTGGTGGCCACAAAGGGGAAGTGGCCCAAAGGCAAGGTTCGGGACGAGCTCAACAATCTAGTCCTGTTTGCCTAGAAATTCCCTAAAAGTCATAATTCAGTGAAGGTCCCCAGCTGAACCTGCAGAGCTCACAATGACACTTGGGCCTGAGAAAGACTCCCTGCATATGTAACACAACCAGCGGTTTCCCCTTCCCAAGTTCCAGCATACCATGCTCTAAGGCCTTGTGGGTCCTTCACAACCCTCTTTGCACATTGTATGGCTTGAGTGATGTCATCCTGGAGCAAGGCTGAAAGACAGGGGTGAGGAATGACAGGGACTGTTATAGAACCCATTTTCACTTCAGATCCAGTCAGCTCTCCTCTGTGACACTGAGCAGTAAATACAAGAAATTATTGTTCAAGTGTTCCACGTCGGTGCTTAGTGGAGACAGCCTCTCTTCAATCTATCCAGGAATCCAAAGGATGAGCCCAGCTAAGACTCCTAGCAAAATGGAGAGAGGCTGCCTGAACTGCCTTCTCCTGCAATCAGATGGTTGACTACCCTATCATCCTAGTGCCTTCATCTGGTAAACTGATGGAAGCAGGTGCAGAGATCCACAGCCAAGTGCCAGGCTGAGCTCTGGGAGTCCCATCAAAGAGAGGACCTGAGTTCATGGGAGCTCATGGACTTTAGACCAAAAGCTGGAAGCTGGCATGGGCCTGAACTAGACCCTGTGCTTGTGGATGACAGTCGTGTGGCTTGGTCTGTTTGTGGGCCCCTGGCAGTGGGGACAGGGATCTATCCCTGGTTTGTGAGCTGGCTTTCTGGAGCCTTGATACAGAGGGGAGGGGCGGGGCTTCGTGCTGCATCACCTTGGTGTGCTAGGCTTTGTTGACTCCACAATGTGAGGTCTTAAACTTTCTAAGGGGTGGACCGGGTGAGGTGGGTGAGGGAGAAGTGTGGGAGGGAGTGGGGGGAGGGGGAACCCTGGTTGGTATGTAAAATTAACAAAAAAAAATTTTAAAAAATTGCAAAAATACAAAAGCCTTATGTGAAGAAAACTCTTCCTAACAATTAATAACCAATAAAATAAAAGGAATTAGATGCTTCAAGACTCAAGATTTGAAGCTGGAGAGACAGATCAGGGTTAAGAGCAATGACTGTTCTCCAGAATCCTGAGGTCAATTCACGGCAACCACATGGTGGCTTACAATCATCTATACTATCCGATGTCATCTTCTGTCCTGCAGGGAGAACGCTGTACAGAAGTAAATAAATCTTAAAAAAGAAAAGACTCAAGAGTGGTGTTTTCATCATACAGAATTTTGCTATGCAATTCTATTCACTCTTTCAATGAGAATTCAGGACACAGTTTTCAGTAATAACCAT